ACCCGGATATTCCCAGCAGCTCCGGAGGCTTAGGCAGGATGATCCTGAGTTCAAAGCCAGCCTCAGCAATGGTGAGGCGCTTAGCAACTCATTGAGATCCTGATTCTAAATAAAATACTAGTAGGGCTGGTGATGTGGCTCAGTGGTTGAGTGCCCCTGGGTTCAATCCACAGTACAAAAAAAAAAAAAAAAAAAAGTAAATATATGAATGCAAGTTTTTGAGGTAACATGCATGTTTTCAATTCTCTTAGGTACTTAAGAAGTGAAATTACCAAACTTCTTTCCAAAATAGCTGCACATTTTACATTCCCACTATCAATGTATGAAGGTTCTAATTTCTCTGCTTCCTTTTTGAAACTTAATATTGTGATATTGAATTTTTTATTTCTATACTGGGGATCGAGCCCAAGGTCTTGCACATACTAGGCAAGTGCTCTACCACTAATCTAAAACCTCAGAATGATGCTGACTTTTTTTTTTTTTTTAAGAGAAAGTGAGAGAGGGGGACAGAGAGAGAGAGAATTTTAACATTTATTTATTTTTTCTTAGTTTTCGGCGGACACAACATCTTTGTTGGTATGTGGTGCTGCTGAGGATCGAACCCGAGCCGCACGCATGCCAGGCGAGCGCGCTACCGCTTGAGCCACATCCCAGCCCCTGATGCTGACTTTTTGATTATAGCCATTCTAATTGGTATAAGGTAGTAAGTATCTCATGCGGTTTTGCTTTGCAATTCTCTGAGGACTAATGATTTTGAGCATCTTTTCATGTCCTTTTTGGTCATTCGCTTATCTTCTTTGAACAAATGTGTTTTCAAATCCTTTGACCCTTTTGTTGTCTTTCTACTGCTCAGCTATAAGAGTTTTCTTTTAAAACGTTGTACAGAGTGATCCCATGAAGCACCAATACAATGATAAATGCAAAAAACATGGGTTCTGAAATTGGCTGGCTGTGCTTGGTTGTAAGGTGGCCACTCCCTTGATCCAAAGTAAAACTTACTTGTACATAAATTTTTAAATTGTCATTTTTAAAAAAATACACATTTTAAGTCTTTGATATAGAACACTGATATCCTCAAGAATATCTACAACTTAAATACTGGTTTTAAATTACCACCAATTGGCAGAATTAGTTCAGTGCTCTTTGAATGAGGAGGTAGGGTTCACAAGTATTTAAAATTTAAACATCAATATATGTTGTGACATGAGGACATGACTATATTTTTATTTTTAGGGAGAATCTGTCTGATGGTCATTACAGAAATTCTATAAAAAGGGCTGTCAATATCCATGAATTCTACCCAGATCATCAAATGCTGGAAGTCCATGGGATCAAGGTAGCCTCCTCCATATCTTCTGGCTCACTTCAAGGCTATGAAGAAAATCAGGGCCCTGCTCATATTCTGCCTGATCTATTCCTTTTGAGTACTTGGAAATATTTCCCTTCTTATAGGAATACCCCCAAAGATGGCAACCCTTACAGTAGGGCTGTATTCTACTTTTGGCTTCTCTTTTAAAAATTGTTCCTACATCAACTTAGCTAATCTGCTCCTATGCCAGATCTCAGGCCAATGTTTTTAATCTTCACTTTTCTGAGCACTGTTATAATTTAAAAGATAAATTTGTTTGATTGCCACAAAATTAGTGTAAAGGAATTCACAGGAAAGGAAATAGTATTAAGGCCCCTTATGGATTAATGACAAAGCTACTCAAATTCCTCTAGGTATTTTTCCTACTTCGCATGGATAAATTTAAATTGGATAGACTTTAAAACTTCCTTAATCTACTCGAAAAATACAAATAAAAATACACTGCCAATGAGAAATTGAATTTTAAAAATAAAAGCATGTCTATATTTTTCCTTATCAATTTTTAAATTGTTTTAGAAAGAAATATGGGAATTTGTAATCAGAAATATAAAATTTAATTTAATAAGCCAAATTTCAAAGAAATTTTCTTTCCACTTAACACCCCAAAGAGTAAACGGTTCAAAGAGGTTAAAGCAGTGTTACTTATAGTAATAAAGGAATTAGAAAATGTACTTTTCTAAAGTCTTATGTTTAAGAAAACTACTCTGTACCAATATTATAGACTATAAAGTCCTTACAAAATATAAGACTCTAGACCATGCTGATATATGGAAGTATGTTCATGAAATAATGTTAATTATAAAATAGCCATTGTGTACAGATGTACATTCATCTACTTTAAAGATTTATAAATTACTCTACATCATTCTGTCTTCAAACAAAATCTATTTCTAACAGTTTACACACACACACACACACACACACACACATATATAAATCCAATAAAGTATGTAAATGTATAATGTACAGAGTGATCCCATGAGGCACCAATACAATGATAAATGCAAAAAACATGGGTTCTGAAATTGGCTGGCTGTGCTTGGTTGTAAGGTGGCCACTCCCTTGATCCAAAGTAAAGCTTACTTGTACATAAATTTTTAAATTGTCATTTTTTAAAAAATACACATTTTAAGTCTTTGATATAGAACAGACAAATAAATGTAAGGTAACATTAACACAATTTTATGTTTTTTGGATTCTTTAATTTCAAAACAGCATTTCACAAAAATCATTCTATTTTATTAAAGTGCTCTTTTTTATCTTTCTTTCTTTTTCTTTTTCTTTCTTTCTTTTCTTTTTTTTTTTTTTTTTGGTATTAGGGATTGAACTCAGGGGCACTCAACTACTGACCCACATCCCTAGCCCTAAAATGCATGAAATAACAAATTGAGAGAATTTGTTAAATGGACTAAGTGAATGTCTTTAGAAATTCTCAGTCTTTGATCCATTAATGTGCATTGCAAATCTCTAAAAATAAAGAGATTCCTCCTATTAACTCAGCCTACTTTTTATCATGATTTACACTTAATTTACTCACATAAATATATTTGTATAAATATTATTTGCACTTGGGTTTGCTAATTTATCTTTCCCACCAAGTTATAAATCCTATCAAGACAGGTAGCAATATCTGTCTTCTTCACCATTATTTCGCCGAGACTCCAGCCAAGGGATATTGCAGGAACTCAATAAATATTTTTGTAGTAAATGAATTGCCAGAGGAACATCTGGGTGGACTAGTACTTGAAGTTATACATTTTGGGAACTATCATTCTAAAGTTATTCAATTTTATAATAACTTCAGAGAAAAATTGTGTTAACAAATCTCGGCCACTAGGGATTCGTTTAATAAATTATTGCTATGCTTTAGTGGAATAACTTACTACTTCAGGGAACTGAGGAGATTTCTCAGAGTACCTCATGACCTGGAAAAGTCTTGTGAAATCATTTTTAAACTCTGAAACTCCCAACTTAAAAACAGTGGTAAAAATGACAGTTACCATGAAGTGAACTGAAAGGAACTGTGTTTTGCATCAACACCAGCATCTTCGGGAACACATTTGGCAATACTGGGTCTTCCATCAAGGATGTTTGCTTATTTTAATAGTTCAAGTATAAAAATCAGATATTCCTTCTGGCAACTGCAAACTGTTGACTCATTGATTCTCTTTGGGGATAAGTGATTTCACATATTATTTCTGGATAATTACAGCCCATGTTAAGATAGCTTTTAAAATATTTGAAATGTACTGGAGTGGCAGAAAGATCCTAAGTTCAAGGTCAGGCTGGGCAACTTAGTCCCACCATCTCAAAATAAAAAGAGATAGGGATATAGCTCAGTGGTACAGTTCAATATCCATACACACAGTATCCATAACAAGCACATATATATGCATGTGTGTATGTGTATATATGTAAGTCATGCATTTAAACACACACACATATTATATATATGTGTGTGTGTGTTTAAATGCTTACCTGTGTTTTATACAATAACTTAGTTTTATGATATAATGCTACTTAAAAGAAAACACAGAGAAAAGCTACATATTTTCATTCATTGCTAAGATTCATCACTTTCCTCCATCAGTCTTACAGAAGTGCAAGAAGAAAAAAAACCCCACTAATTTCATTATTTGAGAGTAGTTGAAGTGAAATAAAAATTACTATAAAATTTAGTGATTTTTTTTTAACAGTTACCAAAATGGAAAGTATTTTAGTCCCCCACATCCTGACATATCACTAAAAGCTTAGCTTATATCTAAACTTTAAACCTGAATAGTATTTGGCAGTGGGGGAGGGGTGCATTTTAAGTCAAACAAAGGATGTATTTCCAAAGCGGCCCTTGCAAAGGTTAACCTGTAGAGACTACACAGGGGAAAGTGCAGCGCCCCAATGATCGATCCAAGACCCCCTTCTGGTTTTGTTCTGCTTTTCCTAATTAATAAACCACAGGGGGAGATCATTTTAAATTTAATTTGCTGAAATGGAAATTTACTAATGTCTGAAAAAAAATTACCCCAATTTTAGAATTTTTTTATAAATTGATTTTTATATGCAAAAATAAAGTTGCTGTTTTTGTTGTTTTCTTCTTATTGACACCTTCAACAGAAAAGATGAAGGATACCTGTCTACTTGATAATAAGCAGGAAGAAAATATACAGAATACCCGAGCCCAAGGTGCTCTTTCACAGCTCAGAGATCTCTTAAAGATTCCAAGGCCATTGCAGTCCTTGGAGTTAATGGGCTTTCATAGGAACGAAGGTCTCCTGACTGCTGGTCTAACCTTTTTCCCAACACCAAAGCTCCAGCGGCCCCAGCTAGAGTGAAGGTCAGAGTCCACAGAATAATCTCTGCAGTCCACGAGAGTGAGGATCCTCCTATCCCAGGGAGTTTTAAAATGTGGTTCATGAAAGGGCACATCTGAATATTCTATTCCAAGGACACAATTCGGCCAAAAGATGAAGGAAAGGCGCAGTTTTTTAGAGGCTTGTTAGGAACTAAGAGTAGGGAGGTGGGAACTGGGGTGGGGGTATGCTAATAAAAGCAAAGTCTGGATCAGCAAGGTATAAAAGTGGGCTTTATTGTTCTAGAGCTGCTTGGAGAGGAATATCCAGGAGACCACGGGATCCCCGCAGGCGAAAGCGGATCCTCAGCTGCGCCCAGTTGGGGGAGCAAAACTGTGAAGCCGAGTTACCCAGGCTCTCTGCTTGCTCCCCCTCAATGCACGTAGTCCGCCCCAGATGCCCCCACGCACTCCCGAGCGCCCTGCGCGCTGCCAGGTTTCTCTCCGCGCTGCCTGGCTCTGGCTCTCCTACTCCAGTGGCATCCCCCAGCCCTCTCCGTTTTCCGCGCTCTTCGGACGCGCAGCCCCTAGCGGCGCGTCACCGCGAGGTCGGCCTCCAGCGAACCTCCCTCCCTCTTTCCTGGCTCTGAGCTCTCCAGCCCGGGGAGGCGGGGAAGCAGCCCGAGCGCGAACGCCACGGCAACCACCCTCAGCCGCCAGCCGGAGAAACAGTCCGTAGGCCCTGGAGCCCGGCCAGGCCCTTGGGAAGCTGGCGCCGCGCCCGGGGAGCCGCTGGGCTTGCCCCTGCCCGGCGCGGAAGGCGCAGAGGTGAGCGGGCTGGGGAACACCAGAGAGGAGGTCGCGGCGGAGTTGAGGGTCACGATGCAGTCAGCGCCACGCGCTGCAGACTTCTACCTGAATCCCGCGCCCTCTGCGGACGTCCGCCCTGGGCTGGCGGGGTTCCTGATCTCCGGGCAGCTGGAGGAGGGGAGTGGGATGCGTGAAGAAGGGTCTGTTCCACCAGTTCCGCTCCCTACTCCTCTTCCTCTTTCTGGAGCTCCCGGAAAGTCCTGAGGTTGGGCCCAGGAGAAGGGAGGCCAACAGAGACTTCGTCCCAGGTAGGATGTGCCAGAAAGGGAAAGGACAGGCAGGTTACTTTGCTCTCCCAGCTAGTCTACCTGCCACTTTGGGTTGATGCAGCGCATTTCATTGAAGATCAAGCCACCCTGCTGTGCGAACAGGTATTTCTAGGAGTCGTTTTATTACCCAGTAATGTAATTGTGGTGTGTTTAGGCCATTTTGTGCTAGAAAGTAATTGGCTTCTTTGAGTGTCCTAAATTATCTTTGAGCCCTGTATTCAGCCTCAGCCAAAACTTGTTGAAAATTATGCCCTAAAAATCTTGCTCTTAAAATAGAGCAGAGAGATAAAGAGAATTTTTGTCCAGAGATTTCCATTTATTATCTCCCCCACCCTGTGGAGGATTGGTGTCAGTTTTCACTCCTCAGGCAGATAGTTTTTTTAGATGGAGAAACTTATTCCAGGCCATGGTTAATTATTGCTCATCATTTAGGGAGAAACAAAATTCAGACTCCTGCCCCCACCCCGCCCTCATGGCTTAGAAGAGATTCTATCTAGTCCCCTTAACAAGACTGTTTTGAACCTTTTAGTTCAAAGCACCTCTTTATCCTCCTTTCCCCTCCTTTATTTGTTCATTTTCTTAATCTGTTTTTCTTCTTTCTCAAACACTATATGTGTGTATATACATTGTTTTCACTCTGCATCTCTTTTTCTGTTGCTTCAAAGCCTAGAGAGAGGATATTTGGAAAGTGAAAAATGCCCATCCTAAATATGTAGAAACATAAGAGCAACTACACTGGCTGCCATTGGAATGTTGCAGTTTCTGCCTCTTAGCCAGGCAGTCTATTGATGGTGGGGGAAATAGACAATATCAATAATGATAAATAGAGCTAATTTTGGAAGATAGCAATTTAAACATCTATCCAAATCACTTTCTAGTGTACTGGTGTCATGGAAAATGTACTTGTGGTGAATGAGCATAAAATGTGTTTTAATACTGAAAAAAACCAGCACAGATAAAGACATCTTTTTAAAGAAAATATTATAATTCATACACCAGAGTGAAAAAGAGCTGGGTGCAGTAGTGTACACCTGTAATCCCTTATTGGGGAGGCTAAGACAGGAGGACACAGTTCAAGGCCAGCCTGAGCAATTTAATAAGGCCCTATCATAAAATTTTTAAAAATTAAGAAAAGGACTGGGGATGTAGCTCAGTGGTAGAGTGCCCTTGGGTTCAATCTTCAAAAAGAAAGTAGTGAGACAGAGGATGCACCAACAGTTTGAAAAGCTAGGCTGTGGAGGTGCCTTTACTCCCTGCTTAGCCCATAACCATGACATTAAAGAAACTAAGACATTGACATATCACTCCATTTGGGCCCACATGTCTTAAATCAGCCTAAAGAGAGGTCTGACTTAGAGACCTATTACAGTTCTTTTGGCCCTGGAATTTTTGATGCAATCAATAACAAAGAATATTTACTACATGCTTAATTACTATATGCCAAACGGTATGGAGGAACTGATGGATAAGACAAACATGGTTCTGCCCTCAAAGAGCTTTATTGTCTGATGAGGGAGATAGTGAATTGTATACAAACACTCACATAAAATTATTACAAAGCAAGTTTAATAAGGATGAAAAGGAAAAGGTGGTAAAAATCTGGGGTGAATCATTGTAGTAAAGACAGAACAGCATATGCAAGGTTCCCAAGATGGGAAAATGACTGGTCTTTTCTACTTACAGAAAAGAATGCTGTGGCTAGGCAATAGGGATTTGGGGTCATTCAGGATGAGATTAGAAAGGTGAGAAGAGGCTAGCCCATTCAGGACCTTTTAGATCATAGTCAGGAAGGTGGTGTGTTGAAGAAGCCATTGATTTTTAGGAGGGAGAGATATTTTATGATGTGTGTTTTAAAACTCAGCTGCTATGTGGAGAATGGTTTGTTTGAAAGGACAAAGGAGAAGATGGACTAACTCTTTAGAAAATGTTTGCAAGCTGAGCAGGGTGGCCTACACCATTAGTCCCAGCTTCTTGTGAGACTTAGGTGGGAGGATTGCTGGAGCCCACCAGTGTAAGTCCACTTTAAGCAACATAGCAAGAGCCTATCTTAGAAAAAAGAAGAAGAAAGAAAAGTGTTATGACGAATTGGGGTAAGAAATGATAGGCACCTGGACTAGAATGATGTCGTGAAGAGGAATTGAAGAAATATTTTGAAGAACAGGAGTTGGGTTGGATTTTATTCCAAGGGTTGGGGAAAGCAAGGAGTAGAGAGTGGCTGTCAGATTTCTGACCTGAGCAACTGGTGAGTAATGGTACCATCCACTGAGATAGTATTTGGGGTGAATAGAAACAGGACTGGGTGGGAGAAAAGTTTAGTTTTCATGGTGTTATGATTGGGAGGTCACTGAGGAAGGTCATAACCGTACCCCCTTGGGAAGTAAAAAGGGATGGTCTCCAAGACAGAAAGGGTAGGCCTTTGATAGGTGATCAGGTGAAGCTGATGATCATGAATTTAAGGTGAGAAAGTTGGTTTTATGATTTTTTTCTTAGCAGTCTTCACCAACGTGGGTACAGATACTCAACATATGATGGAGAGTCAGAGTTAAGGATCTTTTCAAGGGAGTGACTTTTAATATGCACCATGAAATCTAGGCTGGGTTTAACTAGGAACAGGTGGATGGGGAAAGAAAAAAGAAATGTGAGATACGTAGATCAGAGTTATTTTGCTGTCTAGAATTATAAGTATGAATATTTAAACTGGGGTTATCAGCAGGCTAAGAGATAATGCTTGAAGATACCAGGAAGTGAATGACTGAGGTGGTGTGAAGACAAGGATTCATTGCCTTTGATGCATAAGTCAAGGAAATAAGAGGCCCTGAGGTTGAATGGTTCATCCCCAGGAATGAGGAAGTCCTGGAGAGGTACGGTAGTTGTTGGATCACAAAGACCAACTGTATATGCACTGGGGGCCATGGTCTCCAGTGATGAGGAGTAAGCTTGAGAGGGTATTATGAGATGCCATGAGCTGCAAAGGAGCAGGGTGTTTTCACGGAGACAAAGAAGAGAAGTTCAGATGTGGAATTACAAAGAATATATTACCTCATCTTGTGGCCCTGGAGGATTACATTTCTTGATAACCTATCTAAGCCAGCAGATTGCAAATGTCATCAAAATCTCTGAGGGCAATTTTGAGTTATTGTTATCCAATAATTAATGCCCTAGATGTTTCTTCACAAAACAAATTAAGTTCTATTTTTCAAAATTAACATAGCATAACAGCTGCCTGTCAGCTAAAGGAATGTCAAGGAATCCTAAACTGAAAGCTTTAGCAGGTTATGTAGCTGAGTGTAATTGAATTTTCTTATCTTGATAATCCACTCTCGAGCATTAAATGCATACAGCAAATCAAACACTCATTCAAGACTTAGGATCAAAAGAAGTTTACTGTTGGAAAGGACCACAGGAGTCAAGTACAACCTCTTTGTTTTCCATTTAACAAAGGAAACAAACTCAGAGAAAGAAAATCAAGGTGATTTCACAAACCTTTAACTGTTTATTTCCTAGACATCATAAAAACAAAACCTTCTGTAAATGACATTGCTTTATTATTTAATCTAGTTTACCTGTACATAACGTCACATGAAAAGATAAAGAGACTAAGATTTTGTTAGCCAAAGTGTGACCATGGACCAGCACCATGGGTATCAGCTGGGAGTTTGTGAGAAATGTATAACTCAGCCTCACCTCAGACCTAGACAATCTCTGTGCATTTTAGCAAGATTCCCCATAGTCATGTTTGTATTAAGCTTTGAGAAGCTGTGTTCCAGAGCAAGTCAGTCCACTTGAAAAGTCTAGTCTGCTAAGGTCACTAGGACCTGTGATGTCTGGAGAACTAAGAAGAGGAGCCCCTTATTTTAGTCAGCTTTTTCACTGCTGTGACCAAAAGACCTTACTAAAACAATTTTAGAGAAGTTTATTTGGTGCTCACAGTTTCAGGGTCTGGATCCCTAGATAGGTGGCTTCATAACTCTGTGTCCAAGGTAATACAGATTATGGCAGAAGAGTGTCGTGGAGGAAAGTGGCTCAGGACATAGCCACCAAGAAGCAGAGACTCCCCTTACCATGGACAAAATATGTACCCCAAAGGCATGCCCCCAGTGACTCACCTCCTCCATCCACACCCTGGCTGCCTTCAGTTACCACCCAGTTAATCCCTTTGGGGGATTAATGCACTGATTAGGTTAAGGCTCTCCTAACTCAATCTTTGCACATCTAAGCTTTCTTGCATTGTCTCTCACATGGGATTTTAGGGGAACCTTGTATCTAAACCATAACAGCCCTCTTACAGGACAGAAAGTAGAGACACTGTCTGGATTTTGAATGTTATGAAACAACAGGAACAAAGTATTTTGTGTGGTGGGGTGACACATTTTAAGGAATGGCATTGCCCTTTCCAGAACAGATTAGAGAGAAGATTGCAAAATAGTAAGTGGATCTTCTGTACTGCTTCTGCTTCAGTGGGAAAGGGAACAGGACTGCTTACATATTCTTCAGCTTACTGTATTCAGGACCAATAGCTATGTTCTCACTAGTGTTCTTTTTCATTATTACAAACAGCAGTGTAAAAATGGACATAAATGAGAGACAAAAAGCCACACCTGCTGTCTCCAAATAGCATATAAGTACTAAGTTGAATCCTGAATCTTTTAGTAGAGTTGCTTTCAATTTCAGATGTATATGTTTTATACT